TTCCTCCAGTGAGGGTGTTTGGCTCCTTTGTCGAAGATGAGATGGCTGAGTGTGTCTGGCGTTGTTTCTGCATCTTCTAATCTGTTCCACTGGTTGAGAGGCCCATTTTAGACCCCTGAGCAGGGAGCTTGCTTGTTAGCCGCCTACCACGCTGTCATGGAATTCCTGGTTCGTGTTTAAAGTGAAGTCCAGCCGGACAGTGGGGACTGTGTGGGTGGATCCTGGACGTACATGCTCACCTTCCTCATCCACCTTGGGAGGGAGGGGTGTTCGGGTTTCCCAGCCTGGCTTTTCCCGCCGTTGTCCCTGCCCCTTCCCTGTCCACATCTGCACACATTCCCCAGCATATCTCTCCAAAGGAGCAAGGCAGGAAAGTAGCAAATAAAACTCCTGAAAAGAGAGACCGAAGAGCAGTGGTGCACACCTGCAGTACCAGCACTCTGGGAGGCTGAGCCAGGAGGATCCCAATTCCATTCTAGCCTGGGCAAGGTGGCGACTTTGTGAGAACCAGTATGAAATAAATAAGTCTTTTTTTTTTTTTAAGGGCTGGGAATGTAGCTCAGTGCGAAGATTATGGGTACCATTACCAGTTTTTTTTTAAAAAGCAACCCCTAAAGAATCTAAAAGTCTGCTTCCTACCTTTTGAACGAGGGCCCAAAACCCAACTAAATTGAACCTGGTTACTGCCAGCAAAACCTGGCTCCGGGACACCACCAGCAGAAAGGATAGGGAACTTGATGATGAGAGAGACCTAAAAGGACCTTGAGGTGACAGACTAGAACACCAGACCCTGTATCCCAACCAACCGGATGGAGAGGCTGCACCGCTTCTCCTGGGGCCCTGGAGAACCCAGCAGATAGGACCTGAGGACTCAGCCCTTTCTCCCAGGGAATCAGAACCCTCAACTGGAGCAGAGAAAAGTCTGGGCACAGCTCAGCCCCAGCATAAAGGGGGCATGGGATGTGGCCTATTCAGAGGCTTCAGGTTCTCTCTACCCTTGGCCCATGACAGCCATAGCCATTTAACCCTGGCCAGTGTTGCCAGTACTGGGAACCACCTCTAGGCCCTTGCCCTTGGGTTCCCATGTCTGAGGGGCCCAGGAATCCTGGAGTAGGGGCAAAAGCACTGCCCCTCTGGTGCACTGGGCTGGAGAACTGAGCCTTTCGGGCGGGGGTGGCAGGTAGTTAGAGTTGGGGCCTCACTGCAGGTCACCCACGTTCCCGTGCTGCATAGCCAAGTCTGAGCTCCCAGACATATGTGGGTTCTCTGTCCTTGAAGGAACAGGGTGACAAGGTCTACACCTGATAGCCATCTGTGAGTCCCAGGGTACGGGACAGGATGTGGAACACACAGACATGATTGGCATGTGCAGACCTAGGGCTCACATGAGCCCCAACTTTGGAGGGTTAAGGCCCTGATTCTGAATTTGGAAAAAGGCATTGAAATGGCAGTCATGGGTTTTTCTACCAGAGAAAGGGCAATTTGTGCTCACACAAAAGCCTCACCAGGATTGTTCATAGCATATTTATTCAGAATGGGCAGAAAGCAGAAATATCCTAGACGTCCTTCAACACCTGGGTGCTCAGCAAGCCCAGCATCAATACCATGGAGCTCAAACCCCTGGCCCACACTACTTTGTGCCCTCTTATCAGGGACAGACAGCAAGAGCCAGGCACAGGCCCTCACCCTGCCAGTGGTCAGGAAAGTCCAGGCTGTCAGGAGGCCAGAGGAGAAAGTGAGTCTTGGGTCAGGAAAAACCAAGAAGTACAGGCACAGGTGCTGGGAGGAGTGCAGCAGGCTCATTGCCGGAGCAGTGGAGGCCAGTAGACTGGGCTCAAGAGGAACTGTGAATCTGCTGCTGGATCCAGGGCACATAGGTCTGGACACGAGCATAAACGCCAGGAATGTCATGCCAGCCACAGCCATAGCCCCAGCTGACCACTCCCACCAAGGTCCAGGAACCTCTGACCTTGCAGACCAGGGGGCCACCAGAGTCACCCTGGGGAGGAAAGGAGATGATGAATACTGGCCCTGAAGCATGGATGATGGTGGTGGGAAAAGACATGGATAAATGGAACTCACTTGGCAGGAGTCTCAGCCCTCACTTCCAGCACACAGCATGTCATCCAGGATGATCCTCC